AAGACTAGCAAGTTACGAGAATCTTCTACTTTTAATGACTACGTTTCGCAGCCTTAAAGTGAAAAAGGACGAACTGCTGCTCAGTATACTCGTCTCTTAATTGATAGATGGATATCTCGCCTTCTCCATAGGTGACGTAAGTTGGCATAAGTCAAACGAGCCCTTCGAATCCGTACAGAGATTTCGTCGGACACCAACCTATTGGGGCTGATCAGACCTCCGAGAAACGTGAAGTCGACGCGTTCGACTACTTCACTTCCTATCCTTAGTTCAGCTTTTGACGCAGGCCAGTTCTGAAGCAACTACTTGCATTTAGAGGGGAAGAAACACATTCAAAACATCCTGGCATTGTTTTTCAGTGTTACCAGAAGACTCCGAATTTTATAAGCATCTTCACTGAACAGTGCTATGTCATCTGCGTATTCTAAGTCGACCTCCTGGAAGATCGAGTCCTGAAAATCCAGTTGATGAGAACGTCATTTCTGGAAGTATGTCTACGATGAAATTAAAGAGAAATGGAGATAATGGACAGCTTTGACGGACACCACTTGAGGTTGCAAAGTCAGATGACAGTTCGCCATAAGCTCTGACTCGACTAGTGGTACTCGAGTAAAGAGTCTTCACAAGGTTTATGTACTTCTGATATACACCCTTCAGTGACAGACATTTCCACAGAACCTCTCGGTCTACAGAGTTAAATGCTGGTTTTAAGTCAAGAAAAACTATCATTGTTGGACGCCGATAACCATGCCTGTGTTCTAAAATCTGACGAATGGTGAATGTGTGGTCGATACAGCCACGATCATGTCTGAAGCCAGCTTGATTTTCTCGTGTTTGCAGTTCACGAGTCTCTGTTAAGCATCTGCTAATTATTGAGGCTTATATTTTAGACACTATACTAGTCAAACTAACCCCCCTATAGTTACCATGGGATGATTTTAAGCCCTTCTTATACATTGGGACAATCAGTTGTTGTGACCAGTCAGATGGGACTACGTCCAACTTCCAGATTTGAGCTCAAATATTAGTCAAACTAATCGTTGAAATTGAACCACCATACTTAAAGACCTCTGAAGCCAATCCATCTGAACCAGCTGTTCTCCATCGTTTCAGATTAGCTATAGCTTTTTGAACTTCAACTAGAATGGGGGCGCCTACTTCAAGGTTCCATTAAGGCTATTTGGGAATGGTGGCTAGTGGTAGAATACCTGAAGGCCAGCTGAACTGCTCCTTAAAGTGTTCCGCCCATCGTTCTAAATGTCTGGGCTGAGAGCAGATAAGAGTGTCGTCTTTTTCCGAGATATTTTCACTTAAACTTGAATTCTTAATTCCACTTTCCTTTATTAGCCTGAAAATCTGTCTGGTTTTACCTACAGCCGCTGCCTTTTCCATCTCTTTTGCTTTCGTTGCCCACCACTATTCACGGTCATTCCTTAGACTTTTGGTTAACCTAGATCCGACTTGTTTTCGTTCTTCATTGTGTTCATAGCCTGATTAAATGAGTTTACAAGAATCCATCAGTGCAATAGACTTAGTAGAAATCCATTGCTTTTTCGTGACCTTTGATTTGAATCACTAATAGGTGTGTCTGCTGTTTCCACAGCTGTTCGTATATCTTTCCAAGCAACATCTGGGCCAGCCCTGTTTTCAGAACTACCTAAGTGTGACTTCAGTTGTTTCTAGACTCTACTTTTGGCTTTCTCGTCACAGAATTCAACTCTATTGGGTCTTTTTAATGTGATTTTTCCGCATCCAGTTAGGCGCAAGCAAATGCGTGCTCGTACTACAGCAATATCAGAATCTAAACATGTGCTCCAGAACGAGCGGCAGTCTTCTATCGAACTATATGGTCTAGTTGAGTCCATCGTTGGTTTGATGCTGGTGGTCGCCATGTAAGCCGATGTCTCTCCTCATGCTGAAAATTAGTACTTGCTAAAAATAAACTATCGCCTGAGAACAGTTGCAGCAGACGATCACCATTATCTGTTCGTTGAGCCGGAATATTAAAATACCCACCTAAATGTCTTTTTGTTTCGTTTATGCTACCTACCTGGGCATTAAAGTCATCTGCTACGAGTACTACGTCTGAGCGTTTAGCTTTATGAACAAGTTCAGAAGGCTTCCTGTAAAACTCATCATTCAATACATCCCGGCCGCAGTCGGTGGGCGCTTAGGCAGAAACGACGAAAAGGCAACGACATGTGTCTCTATTCTTCCGAGTTCTTACGGAGCCGTTTAGCCAAACAACACATTGGCGACTGTAGGCGGGGATCCATTCTAATTGTGCTCGTACTTAGCGCTACGCATACACCTACCAGTCCATGAGAACTAGCCATCGAGTCGCCAGATACACGGAGAGTGTATCTCGTTGGCTCTCCGTTTTGCCGAGGTGAGGTCAAGTGAATGACCACACTGGGAACCTGTATGCGTGTTTCGGAGACACAGCATACATCAATAGTACTAGATTCTAGGGTTTTAGCTAAGGAGGTCTGCTGACCGATTTGACACAGGGCGCGTATGTTGAAGGCTCCAATCTGTAGTTTGGAGAGAGGTTTCAGTGGACTTTGGAGAGTGTTTTGCGCACTAGAATCATTGGCCATGGTGACACTTGAGGAGGAAGTCAAAAAAGGAAGTTCAGATTTGAAAGTCGATGTAGGAGGAATAATGGGAATTGAACAGGGGGAATGATTATGAATACAGTGATCTTGAGTGCTGTTTGAAGTATGAGGGCAGTTATCACTTCCCGGTTGCCAACACCGTGGAAGGGTTCTTCTGGAGTTACCTGAAAAGGAAATTTAGTGACCTGAGAGCGTGACCGCAGTTCCCAAGAGAAAACTACTCGAGGTCGGTCACACAAAACGTTTTTGTGAGTAATTTTCGTGTTAGTTCCGTATTGTTGAGACCTTACCGCCGGAGACGGATATCCGTGGGATAAGGCGAGGTGTGCATTTCTAGGGTCGATCTTTTCTAATTCTATCCCTCCTTGTGAGAAGGTAGCATCGCTGTTATTCTGGTTGCATGAAGGAAACACCTTACTGCCATCACACCTCTGTACAGTCAGCAGTACGACTTCGCCCTCAGACCTTGGGTTTGCTGCTTTTAGTCTTGTCGTTCTTCAACCGACCTACCTGGTATGCTAGGACATTGAGGAGCGATTGTTCCAGCCAGTATAGCTCGACTGGTTCATCGCGATAGTCAAGCCCGACCACCACGTCAAGGTAGCAGCAACGGTCGAGTCGATAAACAAACATTCTCACCCAATGAATAATATTCGGTGTAGTAGTTCGTATTAATTTTACACAATTTAATACTACGAACACTTATGCTACTACAGTACTAACAATAAAGGTATTAATAAACTTAAATCCACAGTTCTACTCAAAAAATTCTACATGCTTTAAGATATAAGTGCTAAGGAAAAAGAAGTGGAATTTGAAAATGATACAACAGAAACATAAAGAGAAGAGAGTAAAAAGTTAAATTTATTTATAGGGAAAAATGTCCGTGAGAATGTTTACTCAGGATGACTAAAGTTAACATAGTCAAGTAGCATTTATAAAAATAGAAGATATATGCACGGTATAAACTACATAATAATTACACTGATGAAACGAATGATAAATTCAAGATTATAATCTTTGAAAAAACTGGAAAAAGACAATCATAATAACGAAATAATCATTCGAGGCAAATAAAAATTGTGCCATAAACACCCATCTAGCCGATGAAGACTGTGAGATAGTTTGAATAAATAGAAACCATGTAAAGATATGAAAATATCCCTAAGTTAATTTGTACAGAAACATAAGTGTTGGAAACCATTGAGTCTAAATAAACTCAGTTATAATAGTAAGTAATCATTTCTACTTGATTAAAAACAATGAACTAATTTATGAAGCTATTGATAGTCAATTCACAATATGTATGAGATTTAGAGTTTTAAACTGGGATTTACTATGCAAGTATTCTTCATTTTAGTATCATACACCTTTATTTTCTGTTTCTCCATCCTCCAATTTATTATCGTATTTCCGCCTTGTCGATTTTTACTACACTTATGCTTGAGAAGTTTAGAGGCATCAAGCACAAATTAAAACAACTTTCTTTGCTCCTTAAACTGTATCTTAATGTCTTCTAAGAATGACAACTGTTTGGCATAGAACTAAACTATAAAATGCTCAAAATTATTTTAACATATAATCAAATTACCTCGCCATTTGGAGGAATAAAAAATAGAAACTTTTGGTCCCATTTTATGCATCAAAGCTACGGTTAATAATTCGGTACGTCAAAACAGTAAGTTTTATTGAATGTGCGTTATTATTGGGATTTCTGAGTCAAGGCAGCAAAGCAAAGAATATATCGAAATGCAGACTAGCTGAGTTACGCTAATTGACATTAAAGGATTTTAAGGACCTTTATTTGATCAAATTAATCCAGAGACATCGGTTTATACTGTTCAACATCTTTCGTGCATGAAATATCCAGCAAATATGATTACTATTTCAAAAAAAAGACAGAAATTCTATAGGTAAATAACTACATCACCTAATTGATGATCTTAAACTCATATCCAACACTTGAATGAATTTTTTGGATTTTGAATCACCATTCGATAAAACATGACAGAATATGAAAAGGAAGTCAATGGCTTTAATTCTTTCATTTTTATCTGCAGTTAAGGAAAATGCAGGTTTCCAGAAGATAAACGTGTACCATGAATAATTTGTTGTCATTATGTGGGATAACTTGAAATCTACCTTTCTCATCAAGTTAATTCTGTGTTTAAAAGTGGTTACAGTCTTTGATGGGAATTTGTAACGTTGTTCAGTAACTACAAATGTTAAGCTTATAATTTGGTTAGCTATTACAGTCTATGTATCTGAAACTTTATGGCTGATAGAAAGTGTAGTCTCAGTTATCTGTTTTGTTTTCATAAAATTCTGATCATAAATTGAATCAACCTTTGCCTGTAGCATTAAAAATATGGATCCGCTTACCACAGAATTCCGGTGTTCCTGCCATATCTTGAAAGCTTTCGTTTGGATTTAGCACTCTAGCTAGGCAAAATCAATAATTTTTATCTTTCTGGATGCCAGATCTTCGATCATTATATTCTCAGGCTAAAAATCAAGATTTCATCACTTAGTATATTGGAAGAGATAAAGATAAAAAGCATGAACGATAGTGAAAACTTATGTAAAATTACCTTCAAATCCAAGTGAACAATACCCAAACCATGCATATGTTGAACACCCAAAAGAATTTGCTGGACAAAATTTGAAGCCTCCTCCTCTGATAACCGCTCACAATCGGCTACGCGCGCAAACAGTTCCCCACCAGTTACTCTAATAAGAATGAAAAACCAGCATGAATAATTGTTATTATATTTAGATAGACAGTTATCAATCATAAGCAAATTAAGACCTGGAACAAACATTCATCAGCACAAGTCGTCACATTTAGGAGCCTATTGCTTCGTATCAATTGTCTCCCAAACAGATAAACATATGGACATTTATGATAACACCCGAGTTATTAGAGTAAAACGGCTGGTCTAACTGTAAAGGACAAGGAATCACGTCTTCATTTAACTTCAAACTCGGTAACACGTACTTTGATTTCGGTAGCCGAGTAGTAACAATAACCCATCTACAGTGTGGTTCAAAGTCCAGTAAATAAACTTGTACTTATTGTGGCAGTTATGTTATAAACCAAAAGATGCAGTATGAAAGAAGGGCTCAAATATTGCAGCTCTTAACATTCTTCAATACTTACCAATAATTGCCATGGTTTCATTTCCCACCTTATTTTTTCATCACTAGTGCAATATAAAAAAATTAATTCACATTTCAGAAATAATTATTAACTACTGGATGGATTAAAACAAGTGAAAAAATGATAGACCTTAAATTCACTTGACATTATGTGAAAGTGTATTTTAGTCAGTGATCTTGGCAGTATGTCGAAACACAACTTGACAATAACTGAGAACCAATGTATTTCCTTAACTGTTAGCAAACACTAATTATACAGAATAAGCAGAGTTGAACAGAGTTTTAAAACCTTATATTATTAAGTTTTATTTTACTAACTTAGCAGTACTTTAAGTAAAAACGAGAATGTTGTTCAATTCTTAGAAAGCTCAAACGTTAACTCTATGTATCCGCATTGGAAAAGTATTTAACTGCTGATGCATCTGTAACACTAAAGAAAAACGTCAAGATATCAGTTGACTATTGTCTCATTCACAAGTGATTCAGTCAACAATATACTGCATTTAGAAGCCATGAGAGATAGCAGTAACTGAGAAGGGAAAATGCAAGAGAGTTTAGGAAAACAGCCGCAACAAATTAAATATGCAATATGCTTAAAGCGTCAGTTCTTTCCATTTACTGGTCGGATATGATTAAAACAGCTTGGCCATGATCGTAAGCGTCAGCAATTGCCAAAAGCATTTAAAAGCCTGCTTAGCTACTAAGCTGTATGGTCTTTGTAATCTAACTTTTCAAAGTGTGATGTATCAGGAGATAATAATCGACTAAAATTACCTTTTGTCATATGAAAAAAATTTAAGAACCAGTAAGAACATAAAAAAATGAGTCTTCCACAGAAATGGAGAGAAATCCTTGTTCTGTCAGTCTCTAAGAAGAGTCAAGTAATAATTTGACTGATTTGTTTATAAATGTGCTATCAGTTGTATCAAAACACTGCCTCCCACTACAATTTACATATGGGAAAGGTAAGTCGAACAGAACTGGGAACATTATGAATCGAATATTGGATTCTTTAATGACTTAACTCAAGCCCTGAACATAATCACAATTACTGACACAGTGAACTATTTGCATAATCTTAGCGGATGTTTTGGTGGAATAGTTAAAAAGCCAGTTAATAGACTATCAAAATCCGACCGCTAGATTTGTGTTTAAATCTTGAAAAGAAACACATGAACATACTTATCTTGCAATCAAAACATTACATAGGATTACCTATATCAGGTAAGATAAAGTAAACAATGAATAGTATAACTACAGTTAAAATTATGAAGTGCTATACATATAATCACACCACTAACTAACTTAAACACTAAAAGGTCAGTTCCGGGAGTCAGCACAGAGCCCATCTCGAGCTACTTCCAGTACAGGTAAGTCCTACTCACTGCATTCTCGTAGCGTGAGTGTTGTTTACGAAATTCAGAGGACGAAAAGCGAACATCCGGCATTTTAACTGGGTTGGTGGACACGGAGAGTCCACCTACGGGAGTTGGAAAGCCCTAATTCCAAACCATTGGTGCACATGGGCTCCAGTATCCTGAAGGAACAAATGACGTATGAACCAATCGTTGGTCACCGGCTACCATGGGACTGCATCTCCCTACGTTGCTCCACTGCCTTGTGGATCAGACCTTCAGGTCGAAGACTCCGGTTGTGGCCCTCTAAGAAAACCACCTGCTTCGGTTTGGGCACCCGGGCAGTACCACAGCCCTCACAAATATCAAATAAGATCTGTGTGGCGCATATGTATTTGGTGCCTCCTTGTATCAATATATATGTGTTAAAATAAATGAATGAACACTCCCAGTCCCAAGCCCAGTAAAGGAGGGTTGGGAGCGGAGGTTAAAACCCCAGAGGAGACCAGTATTTGTTGATAAAGCTTCAAACTACATAACGCTTAAAACAGGTGTCTGGATGCATAAGAAATGAATGTCTTAGTCAATTTTTTAGGTAAAGTATGGTCAGGATTACTTTGTGAGCGAAGAAACATAGGCCATTTTGATCTCATGCGATTCAGAACATTTCGCAAAATATGCTAGTCTGGTTTTTGCGGGCACATCATCCCCACAACGGGTTTTCACTAAATAATTAGGCCAAACAGTATATGGTGATAAACAGATGAACAGGTGACTAATCATTTCTTGACCTATAAATACACATTAAACACATCAGAGAAGTACATACAATCAATAAGACGTAATAAGCGTCGAAAGGTTTGCTCCAAAATTCACCGGTGATGCAAAAGAATTCAGTTTGAAAAGTAAGCTGGCGCAATAAGCATAAACCATGGAAATTTTTAATAACAAACCCTAATAACTACTTCACACCACATATAAGGTACATAAGTGGAATAGTACGTAGTAAGAAAATATCTACCAGAAACAGCCCTAAACTGACAACAAATACTGTCCGCATCATCAGCGCTAAATTTAAATGATTTATGCACACAATAAAATTATTTTTATTCGTACATACAAACATACAGATTAGTTTATACGAAGATAACTCAAATGCCAATCCATAAAATACACATCATGATGAATTCACACTGGATCACAAATTACTTACAAGTCCAAAATGAGTACGACGGAATCCTCCCGATAGAAAACTTCGTGCAAATTGACAATATTTTCATGCTGTAAATTTGCTAAAATGAAAGCCTCACGGTCTATATCAGAAACGCTTGATCCATGAAGCCCTGTGTTAATCCGTTGCTTCATTATAAACTTGGCCGCATATTTTTGTTTGAACGTTTACATACACAAAGATTGACGTCAGCGAAGTGTCCACTGATAACTCCTTATGAAGGATATGATTTGAACTTACTCTCCAATTTTCTGTTGTATATCGTACAAGTCCTCTAGGCGACCGTGATTAACATGAGGCTCCTAAAACATGATATTTCTTCGAAGAATATTCTACCTGACTTAGCAGAGGCATAATAATCAAACCATCGGATCAACGTTAAGACCAAACCTCGCGCACAGACGCTGAATTTTCTGTTACCAGCCTTTTTGACGGGTTGAAACAACACCTTGTCTTACATGGGATGACTAAAAATCGAATCAGAGTTCCATGGAGTTTTTATTGAATAAAAATGGAGTCTTCTGGACAATATAGAGGCTTTTACTTCCATAACCTACAATCGACAATCAAATACAATATACATCTGGACGAAGCTTTTAATAACTGACCAGTATATTCTATGTATATTAACTATTGAGCATGTCCAGTAGATTTTCGCTTAAGGCTATACTACCCGAGATACAAGTTCGTAGTCTGTTGCTTAGTAGACATGCTAGATTTCCATCCATCTATGAAATATTGAATACTATAATAGATTCATTTAATAGATGAAATTCAACTCTAAATTCTCGACACAAAAATTTGTGTTCGTTGCTGGAATGTGTCAGAACTGATGGTGTACGAGTAGAAAACAGTTAAAATTTGGAAGAAATTTAAATGCACCTACTACCTTATTGTGAAGTAAAAAGACAAATTCAATTTTCTAGAGAACGTACGCAGATTTTCAATGACATTAAGATTCTTCCAGATAGAACACTATGCCAACGAAAAGCAGAAAGAGCTGCTTAAAGGCCACCAGAGTCAAACTCTCAAATGCATCATAATCCTAATGGTCGTAAAATTAAGTCCCATTTTAGGGGACATGTAACTTTACAAATATGCCACCACTGATAAGCTCTCCTGAATCTCCTAATGTTCAGAACCCAGAAGAAAGCGATCCAGATGTAGGTGGTGTCCATACTCCTAAGAATGCTTATTTAGATCTAACTCTAAATAGTTGTGTTGATGACGAATGAAATAACACAGTCCAAATTCCTATTGATGCAACACCCAGTCACAGTAACTTTACAACGGATAATGAGAAAACTAGTCATAACATTTATACAACTGACCACACGCTTAACGTCAATATATTCGAACTCTGCAAACCACTGCTAAGCCGAGCCACCACCTTACGCGCCTGCAATCTCTTGCAGGACCAAAGGCAGCGAACTCTGAAATTGTTAAGGAACTGTGGCTCGAATCGTTACCAGAATACATCCAACCAACGATCACGGCCCTGCTCGAGGACGCACCACTCAACCAGGTAACACTCAAAGCACACAGAATATTGGCAAGGACTGGCAACCGAGACAACTACATAGTTGCCTCAACGTCACGTTTGAGCGTGAAGAGGGACGCTAGTCACTTCCTGGCGCAAAGTGATACGAATAGTTGTATTCATACACGTCTTAGCTTTCGAGACCGTTGCAATATACCCAAACCGTACACCCCTCGGGTCAGATCACGCTCTCGGAAAGCCGCAACCACTCGCCCAACGAGGGCATCTTCCAAGCCACGCCAAAAGGCGGCTTCGGAAGCGAGTGGGGTTGGTGCCGGTTTCACCGCTCCTTCGGGCCATGTGCCCGCCGTTGTCGAGCCCCGTGCCCATACAAGGCGGGAAATTCCCAAGCCGGCCAGTAAAAGCGGCCGTACTCGCCGATCCTTCACCACAGGGTGGTTGTTTATTTTATGTGCACGATTATCGCACGAACGCTAGGTACCTAGTAGATACTGGTGCTCAAGTTTCTGTCGTACCTCTTGGTAACGGCAAGCCACAAGCTACGACGCCTCGACTACACACTGCGAATGGCTAAGCCATTCCTACCTATGGTCCACGACAACTCACGGTCAACCTGGGTAACTGACGACAGTATCTGTGGACGTTCATCATTGCCAATGTTCCCACAGTCATACTTTATATCGATCTCCTACAGCACTACGGATTGCTAGTCGATTCACGTAGGCTGCAGCTAATCGACAGTTCGTTAAACAGCGAATTCATTGGCTTCAAAGCTTACACAAACGCTCACGGAATTTCAGGCACCTTTTATTCGCGTGACGATATATTTCACGCTTTATTCGAGAAATTCCCCAAATTAACTAAACCACTCGAGGAGATTCCATCGGTGACCAATCGTGTAGTACACCACATAGTCACCCGCGGACCCCCAATCACGGCATGACAACGCCGACTGGCACCGGACAAGTTAGCTTTCGCTAAACATGAGTTTGACAATTCTCACAGTCCCTAGACCTCACCTCTTCACATGGTGCGCAAAAAAGATGTGGTCAGTTGGAGACTATGCGGCGACTACCGAGCATTAAACGTGGTTACACGCTCTGATGGCCATCCCATCCCCCATATACATGACATCACGGCATCACTCAAGGGCACGACTACCTTTTCTAAGATCGATCTGGTACGAGCATATCATCAGATCCCAGTCGCTCCTGAAGATATCGAGGAAACCGCTATCACGACTCCTTTTGGTCTGTTTGAATTCCTACGAATGCCATTTGGATTACGGAGTGCTGTTCAAACTTTCCGAAGGTTTATCGATAGCATATTACGAGACTTAGATTTTGTTCACGTCTATATTGATGACCTGCTCATCGCATCATCAAACGTAGATGAACATTATCAACATCTTACACTCTTATTCCAACGTCTTTCGGATAATGGAATAGTAGTCAAGCCGGACAAGTGCGAATTGGGCAAACCAGAAATAATGTTCTTGGGTCACATTAAGCGAGAGGGTATTTTACCATGCGAGGACAAAGTACGTGCAATAAGAGAGTACAACGTACCGTCCTCACTCAAGGAATTGAAGTCATTTCTCGGTTTGGTTAACCTCTACCGTCGTTTCATCCCACACGCGGCAGAACGGTTACGACCATTAACCGATTTACTTCTCGATAATCCACGCAAATTAGAATTAAACGATGCAGCACGTACTGAATTTTCAGAGATCTAGACAGCCCTGACTCAAGTCACACTCCTCGCTCATCCAGACCCATCAGCCACGCTTAGTGTAGCGGCTGATGCATCGGATTTTGCCACTGGAGCCGTTATGCAACAGAACATCTCCGGAGGTCGGCGACCTCAGGAATTTTTTTTCACGACGCCTAACTCCCATGGAGACGAGATATAGAGCTTTTGGTCGGGAGCTGCTAGCAGCATGCTGTGCTATCAAACATTTCCTGCACGCAGTAGAAGGTCGCAAGTTCATTTTATTCACCGACCACAAACCTTTAACGTATGCTCTGCATACCAAGTCTGACCGCTACTCACCACGAGAGTGCAGATATTTGGACTATACCTCCCAGTTCACGACAGACCTTCATCATATTAAAGCGAGTCAAACTATGTTGCTGATGCTCTGTCACGTATCCAAGTGAATGCAGTTACTTCGCTGGTGCTCGATCTTCCTACCATGGCTGCCACTCAAGCAAACGACCCTTTTTGTACAGAAGCACCACAATCTACATCCCTTCATGCCAGGAAGTACCCCTAGCTAATAGCTCAGATACTATCCTATGTGATACTTCTACCGGTCTTCCCCGACCCATCGTACCCTCTGCTTACCGTCGTCTCGTTTTCGATGCCCTGCATGGACTGTCTCATACAGGTATCGCAGCTACATTACGCTCCATCGCTGTACGATGAGTCTAGCCATCCATGAATAATGACGTCTGTATATGGGTAAAGCAATGCTTACAGAGTCAACGATCAAAAGTGCACAGGCACGTAGCTGCTACCATCGGCACGTTCGCTACACCTGACTCTCGCTTCAATCACGTTCATATAGACAATGTGGGACCATTGCCACCATCGCACGGGTATGACCACATACTCACATGCATCGATCGCTTTACAAGACGGCCCGAAGCTATACCCATCACGTCTATTACGGCGGAGACAGTTGCTCACCGCTTTGTGGAACGATGGATAGCGCTGTACGGTTGCCCTTCGACTGTCACGATTGACCGAGGACAACAATCGAGTCCGCATTATTCTCCTCACTGACCCGGCTGCTTGGTACGGAACCCATACGCACTACCCCATACCACCCAGCATCAAATGGTTTAGATGAACGGTTTCATCAACAACTTAAAAGTGTTCTTCGAGCACACGAAAACAACAACTGGTACGAAACCCTACCGCTCATCCTCTTAGGTATCAGAACGAGCTTAAAGGCAGATATTCAATGTTCCGCCGCTGAACGTGTATACGGCACGACATTGCGTCTACCTGGAGAATTTTTCACACCACGGAGCGGCGACGATTTCGGTAAATCAGACTACGTCCATCAACTGTCTGAATTTGTGCGAACACTGCCTCCAGCGTCAACTCCATTACAAAATCGACAGATCGCTCTCCCTCAAGAGTTATCTACCTGCTCACATGTTTTCATACGAGTAGATTCGGTACGCAAACCTCTGCAACAGCCTCACGAAGGACCTTTTCACGTGATTCCTCGTCACGAAAAGACCTTTTAGTTCGATCGATATGGCCGCCTCGAGATCGTCAGCATTGATCGTCGCAAACCAACACACGTCGATGACAGTGCCCTACTCGATAACTTTAGACCCAATGCTAGACCTATCAAACCTACTAGCGGGATTCCTGCATCTACTTTACATCCCACACTAGATACGTTAGAGATCTCATTCTCAAATTCCGGTCGTCAGCACGTGTCATCTGCACCATCTACGGGCGAGAATTCAGTCTCACGTCCAGATTAGCAGACCACGCTGACCTCGACTTCGGATGAGATTGCAGGCTCACGAAGTACGAACGAGACTACCGTCTCACGTTCTGGTCGCCGAGTACGCCCACCCATAGGCTTTCGCGACTAACCGCACAATCAAC